CCCCACGCCATGGCTCACAACACAAACCGCCCGCCACGTCGCGGCTCCAAACCTGCCAGCGTCACCTCTCCCACATCCCGCCGCACGATTATTCACCCTCGCACCGCGGTGCGCCCCCCGCCCCGGCTCAGAGCCACCGGCCCGCCTCGAAATTGCCCGCACGTGCGATTACGCTTACCAAGGCGCAAATCAACCACCTGTCTCGCTCAAATTTTGAACCCACCCATCGGCAGTCTCAGCAACCGCTTCCTGTGTTATCCACTCTTGCCTCATAAACAGGTCGGCCTCAACAGCGTTGCTGACACCACCGTGCGCAACAACCTCATGGGCAAGTCCCGCTTCATGGAGAAGAAGGGCTGGGTCGATGCCCAGGGCCGCAAGGTGCGCCAATCTGAGATCACAGAGATCACCCCAGATCACCCAGATCACAGGCGGCTCAGATCACGCGCCTGGGACCGCGCAGATCCCGAGGTCGGGCCGGCCGGGCCGCGGGCCGGGCGGCGGGCGCCTCGCCGGCCGCCGCCCTCTCATCCTGCGCCCTTTCCTTTGCCCCGCTTGCATGCACAAGCACGCCGCCAGCATGGCGTGCACGCCCGAATCTGATGCGCCTCCCGAGCCGGCCCGCTCTGCCCTGAGCCCGCCACTGGAACCAAGGGCGGTTGCGAACGACCCCCTGCACCACGACTGCAGCGGCCGCCCGCCCTCCTGCGGCGCAGCCAACACTCATGCATCCTCTCACCCGCACCACTCACACCCCTACCCCCCACCCCCCACCCCCCAACAATCAATAGGGCAAGGGCATCGGCGTGTACCGCTTTGCCAACAAGTACGGCGCCAACGTGGATGGCTACAGCCCCATCTACACCCCCGACCGCTGGACCGAGAGCGGTGACTCTTACAAGCTTGGCACCAAGGGCCTCATCGCCTGGTGAGGGGGGGGTGTAACCGCGAGGTGGTCGGGTGGTTGGGTTACTGGTGAGGTTTGGGGGTTACTGGTGAGGTGAGGTGAGTGGTTGGAAAGCTGGTTGCTGGAAAAGGGGCACAATCAGTGGTGTACAGTGGTTCAATTCAAACACTCACATCTCCGACGGCTGATGCTACTGAGATGGGGACGGGCCGTGCGTCTGCTTTGGGCACATGCAGCGGCGCGACCCGCGGGCGGTCGCTGCCGTGCGCGCATGATCTTGACCGGCCGCCCCGGCGCGCTTTGACCGTTGACCGGCGTCCTTTGACCAACCCCCCCAACCCCCCAGGGCCGGCCTTGTGGTGGTGCTCCTCGGCATCGGGGCGAACCTGATCATCTCCACCAGCCAGCTGGGCGCCTAAACCCTAGATCTCGACCCCCCAGATCGGCCGCAATCTGTGTGTGCCACCCTCCCCCTTCGCCGGCCACCCCCGCTCGACAAACCCACACCCTCCTCGCACATGAGCGGCCCCGCCGGGGCGGGCGCGCGAGCGCGCGCGTGCGCGCGTCGCCCCATTTTGCATCCGCAGGGCGCGCGTGCGCCGCCCGCCGCACGCAACACCTCCCGCAGCAAAAGAAGCCTCTTGATTTGCCGCGCGCGCATATATCTTTCCGCTCACCCGCGCGCGCGCAAGGCGGGGCGGGCTTTGCACGCCGGCTGTCGTTTTTGGCCGGGCTCCCCCTGTATATGATATTGCTCGTGCAGTCCACACATAACACACCACATCACATCACAACACACCACCTGAGACCGTTTGTTTTTCGCCTCGCAACCGCAATTCACCCGTTGCGAGGGGCTTGAGCCGCCGCCTAGAGGAGCGACCGACGGAAAGCTGCGCAAAGGGAGGGAGAGGGCACCCGCAGACGGCTGGGGCGCCGCCGCTGCGGTGCATCTGTTTTTGTTCTCTGCTGTCGTCTTGTAACAGGTCTTGCTTGGCGGTGGATCCACATTCTTATCGTGAAAGTATGGTGGTTTACCTGGGTGCGCTCAATTTTGGTGCTGTCGGTTCTCCAGCATTCACAAGTGGCAGTAGCAGCAGGAGTACTGTCACAGCTGCAGGAGGCGCGTTGACGCGGACTGGCCTGCTCACCACAGCCAGCAAGGCAGCCGTGACACCCCACATTTGGTGGCTGAAGGCGGCAACGCACGGCGGTGCATGGCCATGACGCAAAGACGCACAGCCCAAAAGGCAGCAGCTCGCAGCAGCAGGCGCGATGGGGTTGGGCGGAAAGCTCCTGCACGCCCAGTGCAGGCGCAGGCGGGCGGCCCGGACCGCCGCAGTCGCAGCGTCGCATGCCGATGCTGCTGCGCGCGCCGATGCTGCTGCGCGGCGCGGGCCCAATGCAGGTGCGAAAAAGCCACAGCCACTAGTGCGTAGGTGCGACAGCGTCGCGGCCGCTGGCCCCGCACGTGGCCGAGCAGACATCCTCGCCTGACTTGTCACAGCACTGCAGCTGTCAGCTGCCAGCACAGCAAATGCTCACGATAAGCCGCGACGGAAGCAGCACTTTTCAGATGCACCAACACGACCCCAATCCCTCAGCTTGATCAAGCCAAGAGATGCACCAGCCTGGATAGCGCCGACGCCCGGCCCGAGCGGGCGGCACCCCGGCCTGACCCTGTGCTGCCAACCCTCCTGAGTCATCCCCACGCCCTCTCCACATACTTGGGGTTCCTCGCCGCCAAGCAGCCGCTGCCGCCACGCAGCGCGCCGCAGGCCCCTGCAGCCCCTGCCCAGTGCACCGCGCGCCCTGTGGCTTTGCCCCCTGCCGCGGGGGGCTGGGGGTGCATGGCTTTGCCCCATGCCGGGGGGGCTGAGGTCGGCCCCTGGATGAAGCGAGTCAACCCCCGCCCGCCCGACGGCAGCTTACGGGCAGCTTCCCCTGCGCTCGTCGAGGCAGGCGGCGGGCGGCTGCTGCCCGTGCGTGTCATGGACCGTCCTGAATTCACGCACGCCACCACGCCTCAAATCTCGGCTGCTTGCAGCCGCGCCGGTGACAAAGGACCCCAGAAAAGACAGAGTACCCCCTGAACGGGCTGCTGCAGGGGGCCCGAAGCTTTCCAACCTATCGAGCCGCCCGTCCGCCCCAGCCCCCCACTTTGTCGTTCACGCCACCCTGTTACTGTTTTGGGTGGGGGTGCGTCCTGAGAGACGGCTCTCCTTTCTTCTGTGCGTGCGCTCCGCGGGGGCCGGCGGCAAGTGGGATCCCAAGTGCATGCGTCCCCTGTCCGGCGCGCGCAAGTGGGGTCTGCGCAGGGCGGTATGCCATCGAACTTGTGAGCGGCCGCCCTTTTGGTTGCAGGGCCGCCTCGCTCGTCCGCCCGCGGCGGGCGCGGTGGGCTGCTGGGCGCGGGCGCGCGCGCCACTGTCGCCCCAGGCTCGAGCTGCGTGCCTGGGCCGGAGGGCAAGATATGAGGGTGCGGGCGCCCCGCCCCAGCGGGCCGCCAGCCATGCGCGCGCGCGCGCGCGCGGCCGGCGGCCCGCGGGCGCCGCGAAACAACGGGGGGGAGGCCGCGGCCGCGCGCCGCGGCGCGCGCAAGGCGCGGGCGGCGTGCGCAAGGCGCGGGCGCGCAGGGTAATGTGTGTGCGCGCCAAAAGGGGTGGGAATAACCTTCCAAAGTCGCCGGATGGTATATGCGACACGCGAGGGGATGCGTACAGGTGTGATTTGGAGCCGTGGCATCGCACAGCGTCTTCGCGCCTGCGGCTCGTGGGAAGAAACGGTCGGACAAACAAAGTGTTTTATAGGCGATGTAATCGGGCGCCCTCCGGGCCCCGCAGTGCGGCAAAGCCCGGGGAATTCTTGCGCGCGCGCGCGCGCGCACTCTGGTGCAATGAGGGTGCGGTGCGGTGGGGTGTGTCGTGCGGTAAACGGTCGCTGCGGGCTGCTGCTGCTGTGCTGTTGGCAGTGCTGTGCTGTGCGGCTGGACGGGTTGGGGTTTCACGTCTCAGTGGGGGCGG